TTTTTTTTTTATTATGACAATCAACACCAATATTATTGGCGATAAATGAGTTTTAGTTGTCACTACTCATTGGCTATAGTCGTAATTAATAATATTTCACTAAACTGTTTGTATCACAAATTTGTTAATCTTTCTAAATGYCAATTTCAAGATATCACTAAACCTATGAATTGGACACAGCATGAAGGAACCAAGAAAATATTCTGCCTTAACATATTCACTAAATATTTTTTGCAACCAAAACACACACTCGATGTCTCAATAGTTATAAACTTTTTGTACAATACATTTGACAGTATTATTATAATTCTTTATGAATAGTATTATTTATTTTTTATTTTTCAATAATATTGGACATCATATATTGTTTTCATTGTTTTCAACACTTATCATTGTAGGTAAATATAATTAATATTAATATTAAATAGTATTCAAACAAAACAAAATATGAATTAGGTACTGTAGTTATAATAATTATCATTGATTCGGGAACAACAGCACAAAATCATCAGATTGTATTTGGTGCATAGGTCCTTCATTAAACGCGGGCATTCCAAATTATTAACGCACAATACTGGAACATCATCTAAAATAAAATAAATAATAGTAAACCCATCATTAAAGAAACAACATTTAACTAACTTRCAATTACAATATTTAACTTAATTAAGGTAGCTTAAAGCTTTTTGTTGTAACTTTTCGTCAGGTTAGTTTTTGGGTATTTAGCATATTATGTTTTATTTAAAGAATTAATTTGACAATTTTTATGATATTTCAAGTCAAATATTTTGAAAATTTGACCAATTATTGTAGACTCATTTCAGTTCATTGCTTATCATTAGGGCTCGGATTTAAATCGGATGATAAGTTATCATAATAGTGGATTCATGATAAAATTATTTACAGAAACATTTATAAAAGTAACGGTTAACGTCATCGGACTCAATATTATAGAGGTGATAGGTTATCGTAAACAAAGTGTACCGCCCGACGCACAACAGTGTACTGCAAYTCAAACAACACGGTTGTATCTTGTGTAGTTTGATCAGTACACAGACTATCTTTGTGGTCTGTTGTTGCGTGAACACGAGATTTTCACCGATCTAAGCAATATGTTATAATACATGTGTTCCGGTAATGTGATTTCATGAAACTAGAAAAAAAAATTGCTCTTAAGTCTTGAACGGRGAAAACTAATGTCGGTGTAATGTCCTCTCAAAAAAAGCGATTACGATGTAATTTCTATTCTATTATACTACATATTAGTTGTATGTTATGCGCAAGTATTTTATATTTTTACTATTTGTCGCATTTGTTTATTATTATCATGATTATTTTTATTTTATGCAGAATATTAAGGTCTAATCAAAATATATCATAATAATATTATCATTCAAATTTTATATTTTTGTTATTATTCATTATTATTTTGACCGCTGTAACCAACAATTAGGTATAGCTTTGGGAATTTTTTTTTCCGATTACCGACTTCATAAATACATTATACACTACTACATTACTATACATACATAAAAATATCAGAACGAATAAAACAACTTTAAATGTTTAA